AAAAATAATATAATATAATATTATTAATAAATAATAATTACGAAATATATAAAAATTGAACAAACCTTGTAATAATTTTCCCACAGCATCGTCCAAAGAATTGTTGCAATTTTCTATACCGGAAGTTCCAGCCTTTGCTTCCAATGTTGACAAATTATTAACGTGATGAGCTTCCATCTTTTTCTTTTTTTTTCTTTTTTATTATGGTACACCAACAAAAAAAAAAACACTCTCCTTTAAAATATTTTTAATTGTTTTTTTTTTCCCACTTGAAACGTTTTAAATGAATTCTAAATTCTGTAGCAGAAGAAGAACAAGAACAAGAAGAAGAAGAATAAAATAAAAAAAAAAAAAATCAGGATAATTCTCTTCGAAGATAAGTAAACCCCATAAATGAAAGAGAAAGAGAGAAAGAGAGAAAGTTAATTTTTAAATTGAAGAAAAATAAATGTTCTTATCTTCTTTCTTCCTTATTCTTTCGATAAACTCATAAAGAATCCTCTTCTGACAATATGAAACTGTTAATTACTAACTCATGGGGGTTATCTCGAGCACACAATTTATCTCGATAATGATATATATATATATACATGTATCCTTCTGTATCTTTTTCACTTGAAAAAATATTCAAATATTCCTTGACTTTCTGTTGAACGTGTTTATCAATTTCTGATGAACGGTAAAACTCGATTTCTACCGAGTATTTCAAACTTTCCACGAAGATAATCGAGCGGTGATTTTATTTCTTCAAATTGATCACTCATCTCGATCCCAACATCTCAATCATTCTAATCTCTATTCTATCCAATCCCATTGAAAAAATAATCCTCTTATTAATTATCCACAATTATGTAATTTTAATTTTAAACAATTAATTCGGTTATTATGATATTAAATTTATCGTAAAATTAAAATCTTCATTTTATGAGTTAACAAATAATACCCCACAGTCGTTTGAAGAAAAATATATGGTTGATCCAAGTAATTGAATAAAAATTAAGGAAATTTAATTTGTATAATAACACAGATATGACGTTATGATTAAAAATAAATAAATAAATAAAATTAATTAATTAGAACAAAAATCATCCCGAATTAATTGCTATCCCTGATATTATTATATATACAATTAAAAAAAAAATACATTAAGATAATTGCGTAAAGAAAAATTGTTCGATTATTATCTAAAGATGATAATTAAGATTAAAAAAAGTTGATGAAGATGATGATGATGATGATGATGATGATAAACGTACGGATTTTATCACGGGAGAGAAGACACACGAATGTGAAGTTAAAATCCGATGGCCGACTGAGTGAGACTGACGAAACTTTGTAACTAGAAAGACACCGGATAGGGAGGTAGAGAAATCGGTGAGAGAAAGAGAAAGAGAGAAAGAGAAAGAGAGAAGGATTCATGCGAGAGGCCAGCCGCACAGGTTGGTCCACAAAAGAGGCTGAAACGAGCCGCACACGTCTGGCACACGAACGAAACGTTGGATGGAAAGATCGTGGAGGCGGTTCCGTGGACCACCTACCTCTCCTACGAGATGTTGGAAGAGGGGGTGGTTGGTTGGGGAGGGGTTGAGGAAGATACCTCCGATCCTCTTCCTTTTATTCTTATCCTTCCTCTTATTTCTATCTCTTTCTAAAGTTACTCGTGACGACAACGACGAGAGTTCATTTCATCTTTCTGTCTCTTTCCATCTTATTTCTGAAACAACCCTCGAAAAGATATTATTACATTTTCATATGAAACGTTATTTATTATTCTGTGCTGAAAGTATTATATATATTTTCATTTTTTTTTTATTATTATTATTATTATTTTGTACGGGGAATTAAATGTTTAAGCTCGTTGATTATTCGTTTTATTCTTTTAGGGATCTTTTTTGTTTTGTTTTATTATTAAATATTCATTTTGTAATATTATAAAGTGATATTTTATTAAATTTTTTTTAGACTTTTCAGATTATTTATTATTATTTTTATTTTATTTTTATTATTATTATTATAATTATTCTGTACGGGAAATTAAATGTTTAAGCTCGTTGGGTATTCGTTTTATTCTTTTGGTGATCTTATTTTTGTTTTATTTTATTATTAATATTCAATTTGTAATATTATAAAATTATTGTTTATTAAATTTTCTTTACATTTTTTAAATTGATTATAGAATATTTTTAAAGATGATATTGAAATATTTTGAATATTAATTTCTTACATAATGGATCAAAACTTTAGAAATAATTTAAAAAATTAATTATTCTTTTTTGTAAAAACACAATAAGTTAATTTAGTTTTTCACTATTAAAATTAAAAGATTAAAAAATCTGTTATCTACCCTGTGTGTATATTACGTAAATCTATGATTTGATCTGAACGATGTGTGTAAGAACATATTTGATATAATATAATTTTTGGTATATGTTATTGTAGTATAAATGAATACGATATTTGTATATGTTTTTCTATTGGCAATTTTTTGTTGATATTGAATTTTTGATATCTTTGTTATTATAAATGAAATTAGTTTGAAGATTGATGTGGATGCGTCTCGACATGGACAGGTTACACGAGCCAGTTAGGTAGCATTCTTCCCTATCTTTCAACACAATAGACTCTGTGTCTGAGTTTGTGTTTGACTCGACATTAACACGTCCCAGTGACGGACTCTCTGACATGAGTAACACGAGTGTATACACGTGTATACGTTTATAGTATACACATATATATATATATTTATGCATACATATGCATATGTCTGATTATCTTATTGGCAAATAATCAACGATCTACGTTTTATTATTATCATTTATTTACAGTTATTGATTATCAAGATTTTCATTATTTAATTAAATATATTTCGTTTGTTAATATAATCAATGATTTATATTTATGAAGAATTATAAAATTTGATTTTATTATATGAATTAATTAAGAAATTATATTTATGAAGATTGAGAGATTTGATTTTTTTTTATAAATTATTTATATGTATTGTTTTTAATGAATATTATCAATGAATTATATTTATGAAGATTATAATTTGATTTTTTATAAATTAATTATATATATATTGTTTTTAATGAATATTATAGACGAATTATATTTATGAAGAATTAAGATTTGATTTTTATAATGAAAATGTATATCTTGCAAATTTGAAGTAATTTTAATTTTGCGATACTTTGTCATCGTCTGAAAGATTTATTTCTCTTTCTCTCTCTCTCTCTCTCTCTTTCTCTTTCTTTCTCTCTCTTTCCATTTCTCTTTCTCTTTCTCATTTTGTTAGCAAATTCTCGCGAGGAGAAAAGAGACAAATAGGATGAAACACGAGTCAATTTTCGGTACAGAGTCATTTTAATGTTCATAAGAGAAAGATAGGGAAAGAGAGAGAGAGAGAGTATAAGAGAGATAGAGAAAGACAGAAGTAGAGTAGAAATGACTTGTTTTCAGTCTTTCCTCTCGTGCGCCTAATTATACAACGAATTTAATGAATGAGTGAGCTAGCAAAGACAGTGCCCCATAGATGAGCGCATATAAACCACGGTCAATGCCGTGTGGCGGCTTTTGCATAGAGATCAAAGGGAACGTCTCACTCGCACTTTCGGCGACGGGGGTTCACTACGAAAGAATTGTAGAGAGAAAGAAAGAAAGAAAGAAAGAAAGAAAGAAAGAAAGAAAGAAAGACAAAAAGAAAATAAGAAAGAAAAAGATAGATAGAGAAAGAAAGAATATGTTAGGTTAACATAAGTTAAAAAGGAGACACTTAGGTACTCGTTACAAATTACTGTAAATAATTGCTGAAAGGTTTTTTTTAATAACGTGTGTTTCACTAACGAGGGAAGTTGCTTACAAATTTCTTTACCTTTTTTTCTTCGTTCTTCTAAGGGAATATAATTTTTTATAGTGTAGTGCAATAACTAGAAGTGAGATTGGAAATTTGGAATAATTTTATAATTTAGAATTATAAGATTAATATAATATTATCTCTCTCTCTCTCTCTCTCTCTTTTAATTCTATATTATTAATTCTATATTATTATATATTCTATAATATTTTTATTAATTAATCTTATATAAAATATGAGATAATTTATAGAATTAGAGATTATAATTTAGAATATATATATATATAATTTCGTGTTCTGGGGCTAGATTTGAATGCATGGTGTGTTGATACTTTTTCATTCGATCGAATTATTAATTAGATATTTTTATCGGTTGCTTATAATAATGTTAAATACCTACACGAATGGGATTAATAATTTATCAGAATTTGATGTTACATTTAATTTAATTTTTAGTTGGCTTATTATAGTTACATTTGTATTCATAACTTTTACCTGGATATTTCTATTAATTTAAGAACAATTCTATGAATGAAATGATTCAACTTTTAGCAAGTATTAAAGTATTTTGATTGGACAAGTGTTTGATTCGATATAAATTTTATAATGTGATATTAATGAAAATTATTATAATTAGAAAAGTAGTAACATCTGTTGAGAAATGTTTAAAATTGGTTTCCAGTTGAAGAGTATCTTACAATCGTGAGGGATGGTTTCGTGATTCGTCGCTAACCACGAATCCAAATTTAGAACGATCAGTGAACAATAATATTGATTTCAACGAAGCCCGAATTTTGCTCTCTCTCTCTCTCTCTCTCTCTCTTGCAATGGTAAACATCCCGAAACTCCACGTGGTGGCAATATGTGCTGATGTTAGTTCTTGGTACGTACGTAATACGCATGCTTCGGCATTTCAGGGACGTTTCGAAAGAGAACCGATCCGCATTTCTTTCGTAGAAGATTCCACTCTCTCTCTCTCTCTCTCTATCTCTCTCTTTCTCTTTCTGGCGCCCAGTCGCCTATATTTCTTCAACAAAACCCAGTCATTGTTTTGCTCCTTTCCTACTTTTCCTTTTATTATATTCTTATATTATTTTAAGTCTAATTATATTCGATAAAATAATTTCTATTTTAATTCTATGTCAATTTCTATGATTATTAATTAATTTGTATAATTAATACAGTATAATTAAATTTTTTTTCTAATTTTGCTAATATATTATATTATTATGTATAATATAATTTTTATATTTAACAAATTTATATAAAACTCCATTCAAATTGTATAATAATATTTGTAATATTTATTAATTACATTTTTCCTACTATTATATGTTTTACATATTTTATAATAATATTGTAATATATTATATTATAATATATTATATATTAATATTATAATAATAATAAATTTATATATTATTATATTAATTTTATAAAAAATTCTATATAATATTATTTAAAATTATATAATATTATATTATTAATAATTAATAATAATATATTGTATATATTTATTATTATATACAATAATTTGTATCTATTGTATTATAATACATTACAGTATAACACAAATTGCACTATATTGTATATATTATAATATTAATACAATAATATTAACTATTATTAATAATAACTAATAATATAATATTATATAATTTTATAAAATAAATAATTTGATATATAATAATTGTAAAATGATTTATAGAATAAAATAGTTAAAATAAAATAATTATATATATAAATATGTAAAATAATTGGAAGGACACAATATGGCGTACAAAGTATGGTGTAGAAATTTGTTCATCGATTCATTTGTAAAGTTTCTCGTTTTCTTTAGTTGATCTACCGGTCGTGACACTATAAAATAATGATTCCGATAATTCTTGGGGGTCCAGGATACCCCGTCGGGTACTTGAAAGGGACCCGAAGAGACGTCTCTGGGGCGGCGAGTTCGGTGCAGTGCATCGGGTACTCGACACATGTAGCCATGTAAACCCCCTGGGATGCCGATACCGCAACTTTTCAGACCCCCAACGGTGAACTTATGCTGTGATACGATTTTGCGTTGTCATCGTATACGGACGAGATTGTCTCACAATCAGTTGCAATTTTCTTGACCAATTTTAAAGAATATTTTTTTTTTTTTTTTTTTTTTTTAACACAAAATTTCATCCTCTTCTCATACATTTCGTAAATATTTTTTTAATACAAAATTTTGTAGAACAATTAAATAAAATAGTATTGTGGGAAGGTTATTGGAACGTTTAGGGATTGAAATAATACTTTTTATTCGGTTAAATATTTATTTTTATTTAAAAGTAAAAGTCAATTGGGTTGACGTTCAAAAAGGTATCAATTCACCCCCTCGTGTATTTAAATTAATAAAAAAAAAGATATATACTTAAATTATATTTATGAATTATAATAATAATAATAATAATTAACAATATTCAGTAGAGCTTATTAATTAAAATAATAAATTATACAATTAAATAAATTAAATAATTAACATAATTATTATCATCGAAATGGAATTGAAAGGAAATATATTTAATAATTATAAACATTTATAATTTGAAAAATAATAAAAAAAAAACTAAAAAAATGGTGCAGATGCAATAATCGATAAGACGTTGCTGTTAGCTTCTCGACGTCCACGCGAGAAGTGCAACGACGTGCAAACGACGAATGCAATGCCGAGTGCAATTCGTTCCTGGTCCAGTGCCAAGAGATTGCACACTCCTTCTGTTGACGTCATAGTTGTACACGATCGTTCGACCAATCACATTGCAAGAAGGTAGAACGACGAAGAGAAAAGAAATAAAAAGACAGAGAGAGACAGAGAGAAAGAATAAAAGAAGAAGGGATAGGGTTGGTGGGTATTAAGTTTGTGTGGGTTTATACGTGTGAGAGAGTTGTGGATTTGAAGTGGGGAGATGAAAGCTCATTGGTTATTCTCTCGTAGGATATCGTAACCATGGTTACTCTTCGGTGTGTGGAGGTAGAAACGAGGAGGATAAGAGATTTATGTGTGCGTGAGAAAAAGAGAGAAAGAGAGAAAGAAAGAGAGAGAGAGAGAGAGAGAGAGAGAGAGAGATAGATAGAACTTAAAATAAACGTAATAGTATGCCTACTAAATATTTTTTTTTTTTTTTTTGAAATTACGGTCATAAATTTTTTCTGTGAGCTTTTTCTTATTTATTATTAATTATTTATAATATAAAATATATTCTCAAGGGGGGGGGGAAGTATATACGAGGTTTTAAATTTTTTTTCTTTTTTTTTTCTGGATCGAATTTTTATTTTGATAAATAAGAGTTTTGTTAATTATATATATTAAATTTAATTATAATATATATATTAAATAATATTCTATTTAATATATATTATACTAAATTTGTGTTTTTTATATTAAAAATGACAATTATTACTTAATAAATTTAATAGATATGTTTATTTAATTTTTAGATTATATAATTTATTGAATATTAAATATAATTATTTTAATATTGCAGGCAATACAAAAGTTTAATGTTAAATTATTGAAATTCGAATAATAAATCAATTTACCATATTTTATTTATAATTAAATAAATTAAATATCTTATTAATCTTATACGTTTAAATTATGAAACTTTTACCAAATAGATTTGTAGATATATATATATATATATATATATATATATATATATATAAACAATTAATTAAATTTGGTTCACGTTGCTTTGATTGCAAAGTTTCGAGCCCTTAAAAAAGTAGAAACAATTATTTAATCAAACTCACATTTTATTTCAAATAATAGGAAAAATTTTCTTAGAAGTTCGATACACTTGTCGATCTACCCCTTTTTTACTTTCAAAAATAAAAAAGAAAAAATAAATAAAAGAAAATATATAATCGATCTTCCCTATAGATAATTTATTAATCAAAAATTATTATTATTAACAATGATTATAAAAAAAAAAGATAAATTCATATTAAATAAAATATTAAAATCTTCTTGTATAAAACTGGTTGATGGAAAACCACGCAAACTCGAAGGGAGTTGAGAAGACCATCCCCCACCCGCTCAACACTTCCAACAGTTTTATTTAACTCCCTTCCACTTTCTGTAACATCTCTCTCTCTCTCTCTCTCTCTCTCTTTCTTTCTTTCTTTCTTATTTTCTTGTTCTTTTTTTATCTTTCTATCTGTATATTTCTCTCTCTGATTCTTATATTTAGTATTTCTCATACTGGCACGCGGTCGTAACGATTCCGAAGCAACAAGTGTCCGTAAGGCCGTTGTCTTCGGCTCCGCCCCCGAATAGTGTGTGTGTTCCTCTCTCACTCGTGTATAGTACTTTTCATGCTGGAAACTGCCCCGAGGCGATGCAACCACCTCACTCGAGAGCTGATGATCGTACCGTCAGCTAGAAATTCTCCGCGCGAATATAGTTTTGTAACATTGTTTTTTTTTTTTTTAATATATACATATATATATATATTTTCTAAATCACGCGAGTTTTGTAAAAAAACAACATTCGATCATTTGTTTTGGTTTTTTTTATTCTGTTCGTTGCTTTTTACTTACCTTGATTTTTTTCCTTGTTTGTCATTCTTTTTGTTTTTACAATTTTATTTTATGTGACAGGACACATATACATACGCATGTGTTTTTTTTCTTCATCATATTCCTTTATCATATTACTCGTAATTTATAATCAAAATTATTGTTGATTAATAGTGTTTATTTTTGTTAAATATGAACTTTTCACTTTGACATTACGAGAAAGAGGAATACATATGTATATATATGTTTGTAATAGTTTACTATAAAAAGGATATTTTAAAAACAAGGACGAGAGACAGAAGGAAAAGGACCTGTGTGCAGTGAGACTTTTTTTCATAGTGTCCAATTTAAATTAAAATTTTAATTAATATCTAATATTAAATAACAACACTGAGAGACAGAGATGGAAATATAAAATATTTGTTAGTAAGTGAAATAATATTAAAAAAACAATTATGATTTGATTAAAATGAACGAGATATATGATCGATATTGATCATCATCATCATCATCATCATTATCATCATCGAAGATCTTAAAAGTATAATAAAAAAAGAAGCCAAAAAAATATAATCAATGTGACGTCTTATTTCATTTGATTGTGATAATCGAGAAACAATTCGCATTAAGTTAGTTTATTTATTTATTTTTTTTTTTCTACACGATGACAACGAGAAAACGAGATAACGTGAAAGAGATAGATCGATGTTTCTGAAACGTTAGAACACAGAAGAAGAAAAAGAAGAATAAGAAGAAGAAGAAGAAGAAGAATAGTGTGACCGGACGATGACCATTATCATTCTGTGTGTGATAATTTAAATACAAACAATTTTCCTACCCCCCCATTTTTTTTTCTTTGTTCATAAGTTCGTTCATTCGTTCGTTCGTTCGTTCGTCGTACGACAATTCATCGGTGATTGATTAATTATTTATCAGGAAATGATGAACGACATAATGGGTGATACTTCCGGTACTACAAACAATTCGAATAATTCTAATAATTTACATAATAATAATAATAATAATAATAATCTTCATCATCATTCTAATAATGCCAGTGTAAATAATAACAATAATAATAATAATAATAACCTTAATAATAATAATAACAATAACAATAATAATAATAATAATAATGGAAAAAAATCTACGGAAAATACGGGGCCCAATGGTGGTGAAGGAATCAATGCTGCCGTCGCTAAAGTTCTTCAAGGATTTGATTGGACCCGTGTACCCATTGCTACCAAGTAAGCTTGTTTTTTATAATTATTTTGTTTTGTTGTGTTGGTATTATTTATATATTTTTATTGGTATGTTAATTCAAAAATTAAGACCACCGAAAATGATGTATGCAATGATTTTCAATGTAATACTTAAAAGTAATATTTTTAATTTGTTTTTATATATTTTTTTGTTCTGTTAAAGTTCGTTTATTTTTTAATACTTATTATTTTATTTTTTTTATAATAAACGTAGAAATTTATAAAATATAATAACGTTTACATATAATAATAATAATAAATATAATAAATTTATATTAAATGTTTAAATTTATATATTTTTAACGCATATTATTGTAATATTTATTTAATATATATATATATATTACAATAATTAATATATTATTTTAACTATATATACATATATATAGTTAAAATGTAATGGGGTAAAAATAATCATACATTTTCTTAACTAATGTCAAATGAAAATTGTTTCAATATATATAATCTAACCCTTTAATTCTAATTCTAACCTTTTAATAATTTTTAATCAAGTATAATCTTTGTTTGATACATTTTAAAAATCATTATAATATTAATTACTATGTCAACAAAATAATAACGAAAAATAATAGATATGTTAATTATTATTTTTATGAATTATGAACATAATGTACTCATAAGAAAGTTTTACAAGGTAACAAAAAGAAATACAGTGTTGAAAGAGAAAATCTTTTGCATTAACGAAACAACAAAGTAACCAAATACAAAAATAAAAAACAGGAGAAGGAAGAAAAAGAAGAAGAAGAAGAAGAAACAGAAAGAAAGAATGAAAAGAAAAGAAAAGAAAAAAAACATAAATATATAAGAAAATGTGTAGAAGAACGAAGAAGTTAGAGAAAAGATGGCGGTATGGTTTTAAAAATACATGACGCTAACTCAATTATGACGCACCCGTTTCCACGGCCTGGGAAACGACACTCATAGGAAAAATGTCCTCGCTTGCCAATTAACGGAAATTAGCTAATTAATCCCCGATCGTGTTGCCTTCTTCTTCTTTTTCTTATTTTTCTTTTCCTTCTTCTCTTTCTTCTACATTTTCTTTGTTTTCATTTTCTTCTTCGATTTTCAACTCTACGTTTTTATTATTTTCAAGGAGTTTTTGTATGACACACACACACACACACACACACACATAAAGTTGAAGATGAAAATTTCAAAAAAAAAAAAAAAAACTACAAAATGTTCATAAACATTCGATCGATAGATAAAAAGGGATAAGAAAAAAAAGAAAGAAATTAAAATTAAAAAATTAAAATAAAGATTTTACGATCAGATGAATTAGGTTGCACAGCATCCGTCGGATTCTGTTTTAACGTGACCGTTCTCATTTTGATAAAATCGATGATAGCCTTTACGTTAGGAGAAAAATGACGCAACGCAAGATGCACGGTGATCTGGTGTCTTCTAATTGCCTCTCGGTAACGAGATTAGGAACCTTGAATAGAATCTTTTTTTTTTTTTTTTGGATTTTTTTCTTTATTTTATTACGTTTATTACGACTCTTTTGCTCAGAAGGCAGAAGGTACTTTTATTATTATTATTTTTTTTTTTTTCGTATTTCTTTCTTACTATGCATATTTATTTTTTGGTTTTATTTGCCATCATATCATTATCATTATGGTTCATTAAATTTATTATATAGGATGGTAGTCTAAATGTTTTATGGTCTTCAAATTTATTATTTGAATTAATATTATTATTCAAATTAGTATAATTATTATTTTTTTTTTTTATAAAGTTTTAAATTATAAAACTTAAATTATGAAATTAGAAATATTAAATATAAAATATTACAATATATAATATATATTAATATTCATATTATATTATAATATATAATATATATATAATATATTATATATTATAATATATATAAAGAGATTTAATATTTCTAATATGATATTAATACTAATTTAGTATTTAATATTTAATACTATATATTTAAATAGTAATATTTAGAATAATAATTAATAATATTAAATACTAATATTTAACTAATTTAGTATTTTATTATATATATAATATATATAATAATTCTTTTTATATTTCGTTTTTCGAATTTTCTTATTGAAATATAATAATTATTTGTTTCTCTTTTATAACATAATTATAATTAAATTTATTGTACAAAATGGATACAAAAGATTCAATATTTCTAGTTTTATAATTTAAAATGTAATTCTAAATAATTGAATTAATTTGAAACAAATGAATTATAGAAAAGTTGTCTTCCAAAATTGATTGATTTAATTTATGGGATTATAATAAAATAATATTTTTCTAAATAAAATCTTTAATCTCTTAATAAACAAATCAGTTAGAATAATCTCAAAAAGAGTGTTGGAGAAATACTAAAATAATAATCGATAATAAAAATGTAATGGAGTAGAAGGTAAACTTGAATATGAGTTGACGTGTAAATACGCGGTAAAAGAGAAAGAGTGTATGATACATAGTTACATTCTCATAGAGAACTCTCATGGGAATTAAAAAACAGTCGATTTTATCGGGTCTCCTATCAGAAGAAATAAACACGGTACCCTTTACACATCCTGAGATAACTCATATAATTGAGAGTTAGCGATAAGCCTCTGCTGGCACGTTGTAGTCTGACCCGACGCGTTGCACATCACAGAATATATATATATATATCTAACACTGCATTTGTTGAATCATTTTTTTTTTTTTATATATTTCTTTTCGATTAGTGCAATATTACAAACTCATCCTATTCACAATCTCTGTATCTTATTAATTGTTACAATTACATTTTAAATTATTATCTTTAAACTTTAACCAATCTTGTAATAATTTTTTTTATTAAATGTACACGCAGGGGTTTAAAAAACAAAAGTATTTTAAAGTAATTTTTAATAATTCTTCTATGAACTTATTTAATTATTAAAAAATTTAAAACCATTTAATAAGAATGATTTGAGGATTTATAATTCGTTGGAAATCTTTTGTAAAAGGGTTACATAACATATATGTTTTAATAAATTCTATTAGTATTTTTTATTAGATTTTAAATTTAAAATAAAATTAATATATATTAATATTATTATTATTATATATAATTTTGTAATTATAATTAATATAAATTAAATTAATTATATAATTATAGAAATTAATTATATATTAATATATTATATATAACATTATATTATTTTATAATATAATTAATAATATTATTATTATATATATAATTATTATATATTATATTATATATAATAATAAATTCCAATTATAATAATTGTTAATAAAACAAAATACATATTTTATTATACAAGGGTTGTAGTATGTCAAAAGTTTCTAACAAACGTAACAAAACAGTTTTCTATATTTCAATTAGATATTATATTATAAATTTATTTATATTACGAATTAATTATATCAATTAGAATTATTTGTAATAATAATTGCAACAATTTGTTTGTTTTTTTTTGTTTTTGTTTTTTTTTTTTTGGATAAAATAAATAAAAAGCGTGTTAAGAGTCGTGTCACGTTTATGAGTTTAAAGGTTAAAACGTTAGGTTACTAAAACATTAGTAGTAGTAGTAGTAGTAGTAATGTGAGTTGTAAGTCGATGTAAACGAGGTGTAAAGACTTGAAAGATTTTTTGCGTATCTAGGTAAACAACAAGGAAGGTGCGTTATGGCGTGCGCTCACAGTTGCGACGAAGCATCGCCGTGAAAACCGCCTTGTTAGTGAACCCACGCTAATTACAAACGGCTCTTTTGGTTTACACACGGATTTAACGCCCCTCTTATTTCAAAGAGCCCGAAAATCTACGAGACTCCCTTTTTTTTTCCTTTCCTTTTTCTTTTTGTTTTTCGAATTACCAAATTTTTGGTTTTTTTTTTTATCAAACTATCTTGTCTTTTGTCTTTTCTCGAATCGATCGATTAAACTTTTTATTTTTTTATTTTATTAAATTCGATTGGTCGTATGTAATAATAATTATTAAGATAATAATTGTTGGTCAAAGTTAATTAATTTATATGAATTTATTTCAATAGAGAAATAAATCATAGAAATACATTTACTATAGTATTTTTTCATTTATTTGTTAATTAAAGTATAACTATATACAAAAATATTATTAAATAAATTTATTAAAATATAAATATATTAATATTTAATATAATAGTAATTATATTTATTATATATAATTATAATTATTTATATATAATGTATATTTCAATTAATATATTTAAAAATAATATATTATATAATATTTTAATTATATAATTTATTATAATTATATTATTTATATATAATTTAATATAATATAATAATATTTAATATAAAATATATTTATTATTAATAATATAAAGTATAATATATTATAATTATATTTAATAATATAATTAAATATTATAAATGTAATTAATAATATAAAATATAAATTTAATAAAACTGCATCAAACACTTTTATTATATTTCGTTGTTTATAAGAAAATAAAAAATAGAAACTGGTTTACGATAAAGATAAATTTAAATGAATCAAATAAATAAAACGTACGAAAGAAATTGAGAGAGAGAGAGAGAGAGTGAGAGGGAGTGAGAGGGAGGTGGCAGCAATCACGTCCGTCACGTTCTCGTTCAGAACCCAGGGTTAAAGTTTTATGAAGTCATCTTCTTGGAAAGAAAGGGATACGTCCATTCGAAAGCCGTCACACGTTTTAACATCGGCAGTGTTATTTTAAGGCCGACCTTAGAGGACTATATGCTCGTTCGGTAGATCGGAAGAAACGTCGAAAAACGGGGGTAGGGGTAGGGTTAAAATTCTAATCCTTAATAACCCACACGCATCCCCTAACCACCGTTTATTTCCTTCTGCAAGTCAGCGGATTATCTAGCGGAACTCGACCATTCTTCTTCTTCTTTTTTTCTTCTTCTTTTTCTTTTTATTCTTCCTTTTCTTTTTCTTCATTCTCATCCCTCTTTTGTTCTTTTTTTTTTTTTTTTTAACTATTTATATAACAAGAGTCCGATAATTATCTCGATTATATTTTTTTTTTTTGAATCTTTTCATTTGTTGAAAATTTTTTGAAATTAATCTAAGAATTGGAAGACATATTGGATTGGATAAATAATATATAAATAAAAGAGAACAAAATTGTTTCCAATGAAGATAATGTCTACAAATTGCAGGGGCCCCGGTGACAAAAGGAGGGCACACGTTAAAAGACCCATGAACGCTTTTATGGTATGGGCACAGGCTGCTAGACGGAAACTAGCTGACCAACATCCACAACTTCACAATGCCGAACTGTCGAAATATTTAGGACAATTATGGCGGTGAGTTTCATTCGAATATAATTCAATTTTATTTTCTTTTTTAAATAATAATAATAATACAAAATTAAATAGTATCATATAATATATTATTATCCAACGTTAAATTTGAAATTAGTTAAATTAATTCTAAAAAAAAAGATCTTTTAGGGATAACAAAATGTTATTCAAAAATAAAATTTTGTTTAATATCGATATAAAATATTAAAACTTTTATATATAATATTATTAATATTATATATAATAATAATATATTATAATAGATGTTATAATATTTATTTTAAAATTACTATAATATATTATACAATTTTTTAATATTATTTTTATAATATAAGATTATACAACAATATATTATAATAAAATAAATTTATAAATAATAATAATAATATTATATATAATATTATTAACTTAATAAACATCGTATTTTAAGAAATAATCGGTGAAATTCGTACGATTTTAAATTCCAACGATGAAACGGAATATAAAAAAAAAAAAAAAAATTAAAAAACAATAACTACATAAAACTTAAAGGTAAGCGTGAGAGTGTAATTGTTTTTTTTTTTTTTTTTAAATTAATATAATATTTTTAGTATAAATAAAGGAATATTATAATATATTATGATATTTTACTGAAAATGATTCGAGATATTTGTGAGGAGTAAATTAGATTGAATTTCTTATAATTCGATCACGTATGTATGTACGTACGTATGTATGTATATATGTATGTATAATATGTATCGTGCCTTTGGAAAGAATTTGCGTCTCGCGGCTCGTCGGAAAGGCACCGTTCCGATAAAATTAATCAGCACCACGTGTCTTCAATCGGCTGCCTTTCCATTCTTGATCAGATAAGAACGATTCTCACAGATGCGAACTTGGCAAGCTGCGAGCAGCCGGCCATGTAGAAAGAGAAGAATCGTCTTTCATGATCTTTTACGTTAGCAAGAGTGTTTTACTTCGTTGAAAATGTGAAAACGATAAAGGAAGAATCTTTTTTTCATCTTCTTTTTCTACTTTTTCTTTTTTTTTTTTCTTTTTTTTTTTTTATCGTATCCTTCAAACAAATTCGTCTTTTTTTTTCTTTTTCTATTCCGTTAAATAGCCACATGTATCAATTTTATTCTTTTTTATTTTTTTATTTTTTTTTTTATATTCAATTGCAATAATTAATTGATGAAACGTGACGATTTTTAAATTTGTTTTGCATGTCTTATTTTTAAAAGAATATTTTCTCTTTTCTCTCGAGCTATATTTTTTGTTTTCTTTATTTTATTTTATTTCTTTTTACTGATAGGAATGCATGTACATATATTATATTTAGATATGGTTTAAAAAATATCTATATGCGTATATATATATGTATATATATTTTAAACACGTTCTTACCACGTGGCGCCAAGCCTACACGTGGTTAGTTACAAGTGTTCCTGTTACTCTAAAACAACCAATGTGAATCGTACTGGGTTTCACGAGTGACGAAAGTAATCGACACTGGTCTATTTCACAATCTAAATACTTAAAAAAACATCTATCGTAATTAATTATAATATATATCCTTCGAGACTTATAAAAATATTTGGTCAAAAAAAAAAAAAAAAGGAAATTTTCAAGCTCCAAAGTAGTAGAAATCGATTTAAAAAAGTATATTAAATCAATGAACAAAAATGATTTTATTGAAAAAAAAAAACATGGAAACAAATGTTTGCCTATTTTTCTTTTTTCTTTTATCCATTAATTAAAATATGAAAGTATGAAATTAACAAAAATCATAAATAAAAGTGTACGTGTTTGAAAATAAGTAAAATCAAAAGCATAAGAATGACTCTCGATGACGATTCCATTTCCTGGTTGGGACTAACGAGGGGCCCCCAGTGAGTCTTACAAGAGATCATCAGAGGACCTGCCGACAAGACCCCCCATAGAGAATCATTTTATTATATACCGACTCGATCGCGATCCATCGTTCGATCGATCGATCCGATCCGATCCGATTCGATTGCCGATCGATTTCCCAATGATACATTTGCCATACTTGTTTCGAAAGTGGAACGAATAATCGCGAAAGGATTACTATCAAAGAAATTGTCATACAATTGGGTTTCAACTTTCGATTATTTTATATTTTATACAAATATTTTATATACATATATATATATATAATCGTCAAATGAAATTGTTTCACATAAAAATTGTCATGGGAAATTATTCATACAGAAGTTGTTACATTAAAATATTTTATATATAAATATAATAATAAAATATAATATAATAAAATATTATATTAAAAATAAATAGAAATATATAAAATATATATAAAAAATATATGTATTTAAAATGTATATAAAATTCTATATATATATATATATATATATATATATATTTCATAATATATTTATAATTATATAAAACATATTTATATATTCATATTATATAAAATACTATTCTATAATTAATTATTATTTAAAAAATAAATATAATAAAATATTATATATTGAAACTTATATTAGTTATCATCATTTGAATAAGAATTTTTGATGATAATTAAAAGAATTATTAAATTAAACAGATAATAAAAAGAAATAAAAGAGCAGAGGGTTAGGAAAGGGGGTAGAGGAGGTTGTGTAAAATTATCAGAGAGTTTTAGTTTTTTTTTAACCTCTTAAAAAGTAATTATTTAGCACCTTTGAAATGGACCTAACGTCAATTAACACTTCCTACCGTCTATGTAGATTATTTGGAGAGTCTGTCAGTGAACTTTCAATCTGGTTAAACATCACAGGGTTAAATAAAAATTTCTAAATGGATTAAAAGGTTCTTAGATTGATCAAAAAATTTGTTTACACTTAATATAATAAGAAGTTGATATAAAAATAAACTCCAATCTTAAATTATAGTACAATTTGAATTAAATTTATCTTACGATCTTTCATAGATTTATATTACTTAAAAAATAATTTCTGTAAGGTTATTATCTATATCAAATTACAAAATAAACCCTTTACACTTAATAATATTTTTTTAAACATAATTATACCTAAATATCTAATTGATATGAACTTCAATATTTAAATTAAACCAATTTTAATATTTTTCCGAGATTTCAATTACTACGAGTATACTTTCTACAATACTTCATTACTATTAATAATACTATTACAAATACAAAATATTATATATACATATATATATATATTATTAATAAAAAATAAAATTCTATTATCAGTGCTATTTCCGGTGAATAAAAACGAACGAATTTAAACCTGTTCGCGTAAAATAGTATTTGTACAAAAAAAAAAAAACGAATAAAATAGAGGGGGATGTAAAAAAGAGAAGAGAAAAAATAGCAAAAAAAAAAAGAAGGGGCAGGTTCGGAAAAATTCACCTGACAAAAGGGACAAGGAACGTATTGTGATGAGATGATAGTTGTGTAATGGTGGTGGTAGGTAGGCTTTTATCTCAAGCACAGGAACCGGGCCGGCAGCTGCTAGCACGCGCCAAGGATGAACTGTGATATCTGTTTTCTTTTTGTCGGGGGTTGGGGGAGAAGGGGCAAACACGCCTTCTAATATCTTCACTGGGGTGAGAGAGATACCTTAGGAAAGGAGACTAGAGTCTTTGGGACGAAAAGTTAAAGGAGATGATGATAGAGATTTATTTCTGTCACTTATAGCCTATACACCTGGATATACACATAATACACATACACATTCGTGTATTATTTGCTTTTTTATCGTGTATACTACTATACGTTCGCGAAATACAAAATCAAATAGAAAAATAATAATAATAAAAAAAAAAAAAAGAGATAATATAAAATTCAAAGGATACGATTTTTATTTAAATCGAACGTAATCGAAATTTGTTTGCGCTTATTTATTTTATTTTTAAATTTATTATTATTTTTTAACAATTATATAATTATAAATAATATAAATTATTATTATTAATATAAAATTCATATTTTTTTATTATATTTATATTAATAATTTTATTATTATTAATATTATAAATTAATATTTATTATATTTATATATTAAATATATTATAATATTTATAATAAATTTATAAATTAATATAATATATTATTAATATAAAATTAATATTTATTATATCTATATTAATAATTTGATTATTATTAATAAAACAAAAAAAATTAAATATTATATAATTGAATAAATAAATTATTAGCTAATGTTTGTGATAATAGACAATGATAGGGATATCTCACGTGATTTTTAAAATAATTCAATTCGATTGTAATTGTAAGAAGAACATTTTCTCATTGATAAGAAAGTCAAGAAGTGTATAGTAAATCTAATTGGCTGATCCTGGATTGCATCTGGTGTTTGAAAAAGAAGCTTGCGAAGAGAAGCTTATCCGTTGGTTGGTAGGTTAAGAAAAAGAAAAAAAAGGGGAAAGGGTAGAAAAAAACGTCAACCGAGGCAGAGTCCATTGACCAGATGCTATTCTCTCTCTCTCTCTCTCTCTCTCTCTCTTTCTCTCTTTTTCTCTTTCTTATTCTTTCTTTTATAAAGACATGACAAAACATATATCCGTTAAACTCGAGGATGCAAAACGTGGCTTTAAATGTGCACGTTTCAAGCTGGTCAAGAGCTTTACTACGAGACGTGGGATTTAAATTTCGTAGGACAGATACACGAAGTATATTATTATCGGTACTTCGAAAAAGAAAGAGAGAGAGAGAGAGAGAGAGAGAGAGAGAGAGAAACAAAACTTGAAACGATTGTAAGAATGATAAGATTGATAATGATCTAAGCAATGTCTCAATTGAGTTTCGAATTCTTAACCCCTTCGAAGAAATACTCTTCTCATTCTGATTTCCATCTCTTTCTTTTATCAAGATAAAGAAAGAGAGAAATGGAAAGAGAAAAAGAGAGAAAGAGGTACAAGAGTAATTGAAGTTAGATTTGATCTTCTTGGAATTCATTAGAAATCCCGACGAGAGTTAAATTCCAAACCATGTTAATATATTTGTAGATATGCGAAAAAGTTCAAATTAAAATTAGATCTGTGATTGATTATAATATTAAGATGTAATCAAGTTTAATAGTAATTTAATAAATACAAAAATATAAAAATATTTTATTAATATATATATATATATATATATATATATAACATATAATATATTTTATATTTTATATTTTAACTACTGTAACAAGTTTGACCAAATAATAATGAGATTTGTCATTGATTAAACAATTAAATCTGTTATTTATTTGATCAATAATCGTATAAATAAATATCATATATTTTATAAAATATAAATAAGTCAATAAAAAATAGTATTAATATAAGTAATAATAATATATTAATAATATTTTTATATATAATATATTAATATATTTATTTATACTATATTATATACTTATTTTATAATACTATATTGATATAATAATAATATATAATAATAATAATAATAATAATAATAATAATAATAATAATAATAATAATAAATAATATAGTATTAATACCTATATTATAATAAATATATTAAATATAATACTATATTAATACTTATATTAATACTTATATATTATATAGTATTAATAGTATTAATATAATAGTATTATATATTGGAGCATAATATACAATAATTGCATTAGTGTTGCATAAATTTATGAAAATCTTCTTTAAAAATATAAAACATATACATATTAAAATATCTATTTAATAATATATAATATCAATCACTAACTATCTAAAGTTACTTTTTATATTTTTCTAAATTGTTCAGAACATATTTCAAGACGCTATTATACCGGAAAACCTTATCGTTCTTTAGGGGTCTTTTTAGAAGAGCCCAGTGGGAACGTAAACACAAAACGTTCCTCTCTCTCTTTCTCTCTCTCTCTCTCTCTCTTTTACTCGAGTATACACCATGATTATGCTTTCGCGTGTTCTTTACGAGCTTAAACTCCTCGAGATTTAACGCCATAGCAGGAACACTAACCAGATGCAACCATCGCACCTTCTCTTCTTCACTCTTCCTTTAGAAAGAATGAGAGAATCGTTTCGATGTTGATAGAAACGTTCGAGATTTTATTCGACCACCTTAGCCTCTGACCCCCACCCATCCCCACAACATACACACCCCAACACCATTAACTGACTTTCACACAAGAAAATATGCAGTGCATGCGTCAGACGTGAATCATGTTAATCCGACGACAGCTTACTATTGAAATCATCAAGCATTTTGCTTCTTGTTTGAATATATTTTAAATCTTTTTTATTATTAATTATTGTTCTGTTATAATTTATTTCTTCTTTTTTTAGAAAATAATTTTTTTTTATTTAATTTTATAAATATAAATTAACTATTAATTTTATTCGAACAAAAATTAAAGTTGGAATCGAAAAATGAAAAAAAAAAAATAGAATATTTGTTGAAATATTTTTCAGAAATCTTCCCGATAGCGATAAGAAACCATTCATCGAAGAAGCCGATCGTCTTCGAGTGATACACAAACGTGAACATCCGGATTACAAGTATCAACCGAGACGACGAAAACCAAATGGATCATCAGGCCGAGAGAGTTCACCAACGAGAAGTAGAACTCATGTAACTTATATCGTTCGGAGGTCCTTGAAACAAGAGGACATGAGTCCTAGAGGAGTACAAGGACCAAGTTCACCCCAGAGTGCAGTTAATTCGTCCCCATCTACGACACCTAATCAAGGATTGTCACCATTAACACCACCTGCTACACCTAGGAGTCAACATTATGCTAATCAGGTAACACATTTAATTAATAAACATTTGAAAAATCTAACCAACACCGATGACTATCGCAAACATTCACATTTTTCTTGATTAAACGAAAATAAAGAAACAACAACATCTTCATTTGTGTTTAATAAAAATAGGGGGGTAATCAACAACAACAGAACAATACGTTTTATCATCAAGAATTGGTAAACACAACTACTACGTCAGTCGAATCACCTCAACAACAACAACCCGGGGTTGATTTTCGATACATCGAAGTAGGAGATGGTCTACCAGTCGAGGAGAATCAATTGAACGGTCTTGGAAGTTTAGGTGGTATTGGTTTGAATCTTCCTCTCAATCTTCAAGAGTGCGAGGTCGAGAGTAACGAGTTGGACCAGTATCTGCCACCTCAAGTGGCACCGGTTCAATATCCACCTGCTCCACCGACTACTACGAATCAGTGGATACTTAACAGGTAAGAATAAATACCTTCATATATCGTAAAGGACATAGCATAAATAAATTTAGTATTATTTACTCAATTCTATAAAAAATATTAACTCAATAATTAATTCGATGCTTTTTAGAACAAAGTAAAAACAAAGCAAACAAACCTAACAACAAATCTAGTATTTATTAAACTATTAAATATAAATTCGGATTATTTTGAGTTAGAAATAAAACACAATTTTAGATTTAATAAATTAATATTAAATTCACACAATCAAATTAATTTCTACATTTAATATTTTATTATAAAAATACGATCAATGGATAGTTCAGGAAAATTATTTGATTATCCCAAACGTGTATGATGCGTGCATGGATGCACATGCATGTGTGTTTGAGTTCGTCCAACGATATGTTTCACAGATACGAGGAAGAAACCGAAAGGCCAAACCAACGTCACTGTAACGAACACCCAATAAACGAAATCTTTTGGGAAGACAGAACCCAAGAGATGGTCAGGTATCACGAATTGCAGCCACCGTTGCCACCTGTTGGTCACATAACACCAGCACACAATTCCCAACATCATTCGATGCAAATGGCTCATCCTTATGCTACGTATCTTCGATATAACTTTGATAGATCTAATTATTTATAGACTTTTAAATATCTTTATTGTTTAAAAAAACACACACACGTTTCTTTTTAACATTTGCTTTACAAATTTCGTTTATTCTTAAATTAAATCATTTCTGTTTCTCTTTCTCGACGAATCTAATTCATTCAGAGAGGAAGTTTATTATCGAATTATTATTTTCTTCAAAAAAATATTAGTTTTATATTGTCCCAAGTATAATAACATTATAAATATATATATATATCTCTTTTATTCTCTTTAAATAAATGAACTCAAGGTCAGAGGTTCGAAGTATTTTTGAAAGACAGAAATAAAGAAATATTTGTTGTTTATGCTTTTTAATTTTCAATCGTTCGAAATACAAATAACAATACAATAATAAATAAAACAATGACAGTATTAGCGAACTCTTTGATCAAAATTCGTTCTTATATTTTTCGTTTTATTGAATATTTGACGTAAGAGATAAAAAAAGTTAGAGCGCTTAGTAAAATAATTGTTCGGGGGGATGAGGGGTGGTGTTTACGTTTGTCTCTGCGTGGAAAAAGGGAACGAACGGGGATTAAAGTAAGAAATTGACATACTCCATGACATCATTCCATGACAGCCGGCCATTCCAAAGCGAAGAATTTCATGCTAAACAAACAGCCGAAGCTGTTGATCATGTGCGTATGAGTATAAAATACACGTACAAGTACATACACATGTGTGCAGTGCGTGTATTTTTGTTTGCTACAGCCGATCTAAATGTAATAATAATAATTATAATAATAATAATAATAATAGTAATAGTAATAGTAATAGTTAAAAATAATTAATAATAATATTATTAATGATAATAATAACAATACTAATATATATTAATAATTATTAATATTATTATATATTAATATATTAATAATTATTAATATATTTAAATAATATATATATATGTATGTGCGAATGTTAGGCTCGCGAATTGTATAAACCAAGTTATGGTTGGTACAAAGGCCTGTGGTTTATTATACACCGTGTCACGAGCACGTTCTACTTCGTGTACACGGACGTTCTTCAAATAAACCATGAAATCCGAGTCGATTTGCCCGAGACGAGAAGAAATGTTATCTTGGCAGACCACGAATTCTATCCTATGTCAAATTTAAATCCACCGATTGTTGATCAATTTTTAAATCAATTTTTATTTCAAACTTCTTATTATATGAAATATTTTTTTTTTTCTAATTGTTTTCTCTTTTGATCTATGATTCGATCAAAATTTACAGATTAATCTTTTCCCTTCTTCTACTTCTTTTATTTTTTGTTTTGTTATTAATTAATTAATTTACGAAGAGCACTGTAGAATTTTGAAGAATTTGTTTTAATTTAATATTAAAAAAAAAAAAAAAAAAAAAAGAATAAAATGAAAATGAACAAGTATTGACACTTGTCACGCCGATTTATCCAACCGTGCTTGTTGTACTTATTGTTAGATATTTATTTTCGATAGGTGAGCTAAATGTTTATTTTCAAGTAGAACTTAAATTATTAATAAAATCAACCATTTTTTTATTCCCAAGATTTTTTGGAATAATGTTTGTTTAAGTATATTATAAAAATTGCAAAATTAGATTGAACAATTGGAAGTTTAATTAGATGTCTGAGAACTTTAGATAGAAATTCATTAATTTTAGAAATCAATTAGGAATTTTTGAGACTCATATAAAAAAAACATTTAGCTCACCCTGTATTATTCCTTTCTTTCTCTCTTTTTGTATCTCTCTCGTTTTCTTTTTATTAATTTTTATCTGTAGATTATATAAATAGAAACAACAACAAAAAAGAACCCAATAATAATTAAGTAAAGAGAGAGAGAGACACACACACACACACACAACATAGGACAGAGAAAAATAAGCGAAACAAAAAAACGAATTAATAATAATTAAAAATAAAAAAAAAAAACCAACAAAAAAAAAGAAATAAGAAATTGTTATTTATAAGAATTGTATATGTATTAGTTCGTAGGGAATAAAGAAAGATATTTGATGATTTATACGAAATCTCAATCATCCCTTATTCTCGTTCCTTCGTTGGTCCCAAAATTCTCTAAAAAAAAAAAAAAAAAAAAAAAAGACAAAAAAGCTCAGAACTTTTCAACCCACACATATACATATTTTTGTTTAGAATTTATTTTCCTCAAATTAAATGGCGAACAATTTATTTTCCTCGAATTAAACAATTGCAAAACAATTAATTTGTTTCCATTCGAATCGTACTGGTAATGTAAAATTGCGTGTGAAATTTTTTTAACTTCGTCTTTATCATTTATACGGTTAATTCTGTTTAAAATGAGGAGTCAGATAAAATGTTAGAAGAAAAAAAAAAGAAGAAGAAAATAAAACTAAAAACGTGATTCAAATATTAGCGAACTTCTCTTTATTTGATTTTTTATTTTGCATAGTATGTTCTTCTCTCTCTCTTTCTTCTTCTTTCTTTTTCTTACTTTTTTCTTAATGGTTTTGAGAAGAGTGAAGCAAAGCAATGGACCATTGCGTGCTTCGAAGGGCAAACAGGCTTATCGAAATCCGTCCAACGAGGAACGTGGGAATGTCGCGACTTTTATGCCACTTATCCGCATCTCGAGATTAAAATAGAGGAGGGTCTCACTTATGTATGTATATTTCTATGTATATGTATGTATATTCATGGGTATGTGTATATATGTTTCTCTTTCTTTCTTTCTTTCTTTCTTTCTTTCTTTCTCATTGACGAAGTTCTAGTACATACACGTGTACGAATAAAACGTTCATTTTACGTATATGAAACACTATATGTGTGAGAAATTATATATTATTTTAATAAAATGATTTTTATTTTTTTTAAATTATAAGAATAAAATTATTATAATATAATATAATATATATTAAATTTTAAAAATATTTCTACGTGTGTATGTATGCGTAAGTGTATTTAAATATATTTGAGAGAATTATTGTTATTTAATTTGAAGTAAAAAATATAGAAAATTACTGTTGCAATTGTATCAGTATTTTTATTTAATTTAAAGAAAAAAAATATATAAAACTACTATTGCAATTGTATCAGTATTTTTATTTAATTTAAAGAAAAAAAAATATATATATATTGCAAAAATGTCACATGTTACGTATCATAGTGATTATTTAATCATTTATATTTAACTATAATTATAAAAAGTATAAAATATGAGATCATATCATGATTGAATCACTATGTTATTTTTTTTTTTTCAGATCGATATAAAATTAACGTTACCATTTTACCATATCCCCTTTTCGAAGAAATAATTAAAGATATTTTTCTTCCTTCTTTTTTTTTTTTAAATTTGTTCATTTATCTCAAGTAATAAGCTAAATTACTATCTTTATGGAAACTTACGCATGAATGGTGATCGTTGTTTAAAACGTGACCGCTAATTGGACAGACTATTCGTAATCCTTGATGATATTTTGTATTTTGTTCTTCGTATTATTGCAGGAATTGATTATTTTTCTTTAATACAATTTAAAAAATTAGTCAATAGAAAGAAATCTATTTGTATGTACCAGTCAACGATAGGAATAATATAGAAGAAGGTAAGATTTTTATTTCTTTTTTTTTAACTTTTTTCTCTATTTGTGTAAAAAAATTTCAAATTGATTTGTCATTAAAAAAAGATAAAGAAAAGTATAACGAAATAAAACAGATTTATATATATATTAGTATCAAATATACATAATTTATTCGATGTATTACAAAAGTTACTGTATTTACAATCCAATCTAAAAAAAAAATAAATAAATAATATAGAAAGTAAGTATTATAATTGTAAAAATTAATTATAAATTAATTGCTAAATCTTCAAATATACAGAACTTATTCAATGTATTACAAATGTTACAATGCTTGCAATCTAATCTAAAAAAAATAAATAATATAGAAGGAAAGTATAATAATTGAAAAAATAAATTACAAAATTATTATGCTAAATCTGCTAATATACAGAATTTAATAAATGTATTACCAAAGTTACTATACTTGCAATTTAATCTAAACAAAAAAATATAAATCATGTAAATAAAAGTATACCAATTGTAAAAATAAATTATAAAATTATTGTACTAAATCTTCAAATATACAGAACTTATTCAATGTATTACCAAAGTTACTATGCTTGCAATTTAATCTAAACAAAAAAATATAAATCATATAAACAAAAGTATACCAATTGTAAAAATAAATTACAAAATTATTGTGCTAAACCTTTAAATATACAGAACTTATTCAATGTATTACCAAAGCTACTATGCTTGCAATCTAAAAAAAAAAAATAAATAAATAAATGATATACAAAAATAGTATAGTAATTGTAAAAATTAATAATAAAATTATTAGGTGCTTAACTTTATGAATAAAATACCATAGATATGTATCTTGTAATGAAATAGATTTATGTGGAATAGAAGAAATAAAATAAAAGACAAAAAATAGAATGAAGTATAATAATAGGAATAGAGGGATTTAAATAATGTTACGTTATACTTACGTCAACGAGAACTGTACAAGAAGACATCAACATATGGTTTACGACATTTTTGTTGACGAACGACAGCTTAATTTTTTCTTATCGAATTTAGTACGATTTTTCTATCCTTTTCTTAACACCATTTTAGTAGCTTACTTTCATCTCTCTCTCTCTCTCTCTCTCTCTCTCTCTCTCTCTTATACACACACTCTCTTTCTATTTTATTTTGTTTGGTTATCATTGGAAACTAATATTCAAAGTTTCCTAATAAATAATGTTCTTTTTTTAACACCATATTTTAATCCTATTATTTTCATTTCTTTATTTATCTATTATTTTGTTTCGAATGCATTGGAAATATCAACGTTAGAAATTTTCTAAGAAATTAATTGAAATTAAAAAAATAGAAGTGAATGAGAAATGTATGTCCGGTTCCTGTACATTAGAAAGAAAGTGAAAAGAAAATAAAATTAGAGTTCTTCCTGTGTTATGGCACTTT